AAGATTGCCAAAGTTAGGTTTCAATGATCACTTTGCATGCATATGCTTAATCAACAAGATTTATAAACTCCATCTAGATAATAAACTCATTCACAACATCCTCTAAATGTGATTATCTCTAACTCACATTGTGGGTTTTACCGTTTTGATCCATTGTTGATTTCTCACACAATCTATCAAACTGATAACATTAAAGTTTAACATTTTAAGTGAACATCTTCATTCTTAACTATCTCTAGTTTAAAAACAAAGATGGATGAAAACCTAGGTTAAGAGTTGGAAAATATCTCTCAATCATAAACCAACACAAAGAGTTTTCAATAAAGCAAAGTTTTCATCATTCATTCATCATCCAAGAGTTTACAATACAAATGAAGATCAATACATTTACATACAAAGGTTGATGATCACCTACATCTAACCTTGACAACAAGAAGAACTTAGCCACTCATTCTCATGGTAGCTTGAACAAGAAGGAAATGGAGAAGATGAAGAACATCCACTTCGTAGAATCGATGAAGGATGTGATTCCACTTCTCCTTGATTGCACACTAAATAGAAAAATGAAGAAGAACTAATGTTTTTAGGGTTCTAGAGCTCTATTCTTATGTTACAAAAAGTGATATGTTTCCAAGTACATGGTATGAGCTATATAAAGAAACCAATAAAGTAAAAAGGAAGTGCTGTCTGCGCACATTTTCCAGGCGAACCAAAAATAACTTGGCACTTCAAAGTGCCTCTGGCTAGCAAACCGCCCTCTGAGGTATCGTACATTCGCCAGGCGAACAATTCACTCGCCAGACGAACATTCGCTGGCCTCACTCGCCAGGCGAACTTTGGGTGGTTTTGCTACTGGAATTTGCATGAGGAAAGCTACCACTTCTTCGCCAGCACCTTCGCCAGGCGAACGGTAGCGAAGCTTCGCTGAAACCTTCTCCTGGCGAACTTCCTATCTTTTAAGTCTGGGAGTTAATTCTGAATTACTCGCTCTAGCTCGCCAACACTTGCCTGACGAACATTCGCTGGCATTCGCTGAGCTTCGCCAGGCGAATGCTTTGGTTTGCAACTTCTCCAGACTGCTTTGTCTTGTCTCCCAAGGTGCTCTTATTAGTGTCAATCATGTACACTAACAGCAACATTACAAACACCATTCACTTGGATCACAATAAAATGAAACTAAACAAATTCGCCTACTAAATCAAATACTATTAGATGAAAATGATTAAAAAAACTACTAAAAAGAAATCAAATATCTACTATAATTGGGATCTAACAATGAACTTCCAAGAAGCTTTTAGGATGCCCACTTTGCTTTGGAACAACTTCAATCCTTTTGCACAACTCCTCTTGCAAGATTGAAAAATGCAAACTTGATCCTTAAGAAAATGGTGTCACAGTTGCAAAATGATGTTATGGACAGCTTGCAGGATGTTTATGGAAGGTGTTTGAAGGATTAAATGGATTGGGAAAGGGAAAAATGAAGAGTTGGATTGGTTTATGCATAAATTAAACTAAATGGACGTTGAGAGTTGACTTTCCGTTCTTGAGGTTTTTTGGTGAAGATGAGGGTTTGGACAACTTGGTTAGGTGTTTTGTGATGTGTGTGGATTGGTTGTTTTGATGATTTTATGGATGTGGAGGACTTTGGACAAGTTTGTGCAAAGTGGTGATTTTTGGCACAATGGAGGTTTTGATGCAAAATGCTGAGGTGAAGGGTGTTTGATATGCTTTCTGATGTGCTTTTTGTGTTTTTTGGACTGAGGAGTGAGTCTTTATTTATAGGAAAAGATTGAGGATCTGAAGTTATGCAGAACTCACAAGTTGTGGAGTTTGGTTTGGTTGGAAACAAATGGACAGTTTCATGGATTTTCTGGTTCCAATGCCAAGTACAAGACTTTCTAGAGTTGTTGAAAAGTTTTAGAGGTATTTCTTCTGTGTTTAGAAAGGTTTGTGTGCAGAAGAAACAAGGTATGTGCCAAGACAAGTTGACTTTGTGATTAAAGGTGCTTTATCAAAATGGAAGCATAATCTGTATGCCCTAAATAGAATGATCCTTTGAACAATGACTTAAACACTTGGAAAATGTATCATTAGTCTATGTAAAGCTCATATTTTGTTGAGATTTAGAAGCAAGAATTCCTGCAAACTGAGATTGAGTAGGTTTGGCTAGGTTTTGCAACAAGAGTTTGACATGATCATGAACCAAAATCCATGTTTTCAAGGTCAACTTTCCTTCTTCAAAACTCCTAGCTCAAATATGATAAAAATGTGTTCTTGGACTCTTTGGAAAGATTGAAACATCTTCTACAACTTTTATGTTTTGATTTTTTCTTTAAATCAATTGGGATTCTGGTGAAAAATGGTCAGCGAGTGAGTCACTTTACAAGGCAGATTTTGTTGAAATTTTTTTAAGTGTTTTGGTTCAAAGGGCAATGAATCCTCCACTTCATGGCTTCATATCTCTTAATCCATGCATTTTTTGAAGATCAACTCATAGGACAAATTTGTAGTATGTAGCAAGCTCTTCAATTTGATCTTTGGAGCAAAGAAAATAGTTGTTTGGGTTGGAAGTTATGACCTTGAGAAGTTGGGCAAAAATCATAAACTTCTATAACTTAGAAAAAAATTCAATTTCTTTACTGTTGTCCTTTTTGCAAGTAACCTCACATTTCTTGATTTCTCTTGATTGATCATGATCCAAATCACATATTATCATCATTCTTGACTTGAGGAACTCATGTTTGACCAAAAAATCAAAAGTGAAATCTTTTAATACATTTATTTTATTTTCTTTAATAGATTTTAATACCTTTTTTCACATTTTTATTAGGATTTGAAATACTTTGAAAAACATAAAAAATAACAAAAATAGAATACTTAGATTCATGTTAGAATTAGCCTTTAGTTTTAGGATTTTATTTTCAATTTAGTACTTTAAAAATTAATATACACGTCCATATTTGTTTTGTTTGATTTTGAAAATTATTAAGGATGATAACACTTAGATTTCGTTGTGATTTTAAATTCATAAAATTTATGTGCTTGATTCATATCCTTGATTGGTTGATTGATCAAAGTTTTCTTTGATCATTTAATCATTTGATATCTGTATGATTCTCCTTATCCGTTAAGTAATAATAAGCCTCTTGATCACTTGGTGGGACTATCCCTTAGTATTTGCACTACACCAGATCATTCAAGTTCAAGGCTTCACTTGCAAGACGTTATAGACAAACTCGAAATCAAGGAATTTACCATTGTTGGATTCCATCCTGTTCCCTTTTTTTTTTTTTTCATTTAAGACTAAAATCATTTTTGTAAATACATAAAAAATATTTAAAAATACGATGCGAATTGTACGCCACGAGTCTTAAGCAATGGAGAAGAATGAAAGGGATTATTTCTATCTTTGTTCTGAGTATCTTTGAATACGAGACGTAGGCCCCCGATATTCAAAGTATTCACATCCATTCATAGGTTTTAGTGCAATTTAAATTAAGACAATCTTTTTCAAAACTAAAATCAATCACAACTCATCAAATCCACTTTTTCGCCTAAGGGCATTCAAAAACCTTCCATAAAGGACATGATATTTCCGTTCTACCGCAAACAAACAACACATAAATCTCTCACGCACGAGCATACAAGCAACGTTTAACTATTAAAATGCGAACGTTAACACTATTCAATAAAAATAATCAACAAACACTCATTTTCTACCCCAAACTACGAATTCTGATTTTCTTATTCCACTATGAGGATACGTAAGCACATGATTGCGAAATCCTGGCGATCACACTAATTTAAAATCTTTTTTTCCCTTTTCGCAAGTAACCTTTATATAATAACACTCATCCGCGCAAAAAAATCAAAATAGTTTCCATTAAGTACAACGGATGTGAGGGATGCTAATACATTTCTCTTACATAACCGACTTCCGAATTTGTTCTTGATTGTGACGACCATTTTTTTCACCTTTAGGGGTTTTATCGATATTTTCCCTTTCCTTTAGAATAAATAAAGTTCGGTGGCGACTTTGTATTTTTTCCATAGCGACAAATAGGTCATTGTTATTTCTTTAAGTCTTCAACTCCTTATATAGAGAAGAAAAAAAGTCGTTGAAGAGTTTGCACAAGAGAGTCTTTGAGAAGTTTGATTCAGAGACGTTGAGATGTTTCTTGATATGGTTAATAGTGTTTAAAACTCATTTGAAATCCCTTTGCTACAAAAGGAATTATACGTTGCATCTCAACTGTCTTCTACTATTTTTGCTTAAGTCTTCACGTGATAAGAAGAAGACAAAATATTCTCAGAGTCTGATAGTGACCTATTAGAATCTCCTCGTTCCTTGTGTTGACTAGATTTTCAAAGTCTGAATTTCCAGAGTTTGGATCTTCAGAGACTGGCGTCATCTAGAGTCTGAGTCTCAAGAGGTTGGCGTCATTCAGAGTCCGAGTTTTCAAATCCTAGTCTTCAGCTTCAGATCTTTCAGAATCTGAAACTTTATGTTCTCTTTAAAAAAATTAGTCTATGATCTTGCATACTTGAACATTTGTTAGTATAATCTATTGTTCTTTAAATACTTTGTTATCATAAAAAATTTAAAGATATGATACAAATCAATTTTGTTCCAATTTTCACTTCTTACCGTTATCAGCATTGGAGCATGACGATCAACCGTCAACATGGGTGACAGCAGTCACGGCGTCCTGGTCTAAAAAATCTGCAGAATCAACAACAGATCAGTCCAAAAACACAACTAACTCCACTCTAATATGAGCTTGACTTGATATTTCTAAGAAGATACTACTTGTTGAAATTTCATGCTTCTTACTTTTCTTCCCTATGAATGGATGAAACCAATTTCTAGCCCAACGTACACAACACGGTTCTCATAATTTCTTCTTCCAATTTTGTATTTACATACTTTCCACCAGATATAAAGTGCTATACATCTATCTACATTTTCAACACAACTCACAAAACAACCTTAAAAAAACATGGCATCCTTCACACAAGTTTCAATCCTTTTATTATCTTTTTCCCTCATTTCCCTATTCAAATACTCTCATGCTGCAGGAATTGCAGTCTATTGGGGCCAAGATGGACGTGAAGGTTCCTTGGCAGAAGCTTGCAACACAAACAACTACCAGTTTGTAAACATAGCTTTTCTGTCCACTTTTGGCAATCGCCAAACCCCACAACTAAACCTTGCTGGTCATTGTACTCCAAGTATCAATGACTGCACAAAGTTTAGTAGTGAAATTCAAACATGTCAAGGCAAGGGAATCAAAGTGTTACTCTCTCTCGGAGGTGCCCGTGGTAGTTACTCTCTTAATACGTCTGATGAAGCCACACAACTAGCAACTTACCTATGGAACAATTTCCTTGGTGGAACATCAAGTTCAAGACCATTAGGTGATGCAGTTTTGGATGGAATAGATTTTGATATTGAAGCAGGTAATGGTCAACATTGGGATGAACTTGCAAAAGCACTTAATCGTTCAAGTGCACAAAAGAGAGTTTATTTGTCTGCAGCACCACAATGTCCTTATACTGATGCTCATTTAGATTTAGCAATTAAAACTGGTTTGTTTGATTATGTTTGGGTTCAGTTTTATAATAATGGTCAGTGTCAATATTCAAATGGAAATATTGACAATCTCGTTAAGGCTTGGAATCAATGGACTACAAGTCAAGCTAAACAAGTGTTTTTAGGTGTTCCTGCTAACAATACTGCTTCTGGTTTTGTTCCTTCTGATGTTTTGAAATCTCAAATTCTTCCTGCTATTAAGAGTTCTCCTAAATACGGCGGAGTCATGATTTGGAATAAATTTGAAGATGGAAAAAGTGGATACAGTAATGCTATTAAGGGCAGCGTTTAATTAACTAGTTAAATCTGTAGTCTTTATTATGTATTTGGAATAAGTAGCACATTCAGTAGGTTTTGTTCCTACATATTAATAGGTGCTATTTGATCAGTGATCACTTTGTTTATGAAATCTCACCTATCATTGGAAGTGTTTTTGCAAATTTAAAATGAGAATTTTTATAATCTATACCGCTATATTAAAGGAGATATAGCATCTGGCAAATTGGTCAAGGAAGTTTATCTAAAGTTCCAAAGCATTGTACAATAGTGTGAAACTGCCCATGCCTCACCTATAATTGAACTTTTTTGCATCATTTTCTTCCACCTAGGATCCAGTGTTTGTCCAAATTTAATATTTTCAACTTTTCGCCAATACTACAAAAACTAGAAACATTTTCAGCTTTAATGAGACTCTGCAGATTGAAAATGAGACCAGTATTCTTTGACAAGCTTCCCAAACAAAGATCCTTCTTTCTTCATCAACTTCATTGGCTCATCATACTCTACTAATTTTCCTGTAAATTCAATTGCACATTTTATTTTCTTAGAACAAAATAATGAAAGGATCAAATGCTTTCTCCTCAACATGTGCTAAATGTTCAAACGTGCAATCAACAAGAGTACTTAATATGCTACTTACCATCACTGATGGAAAGAACCTTTGTGCAATTCATCACAGTAGGTATCCTGTGAGCTACCGTGATTACCGTACAATCTGCAAATTCAGTCCTAATAGTTTTCTGCAGAATCAAGTCAGTTGCATTATCAATTGATGCAGTTGCTTCATCGAGAACCAATACCCGACTTCTCCTCAGCAAAGCACGGCCCAAACAGAATAATTGTCGTTGTCCCATGCTCCAATTTGCCCCATCTTCAACGACTGTATAACAATTTGTTACTAAACATAAGTATCTAGAATTACTGTTTGGATAAACAATTCAATTAAACATTGATGGCATCAATGTTTATTGTAAAGTGCATATGCATGAGCTATTTCTACAACAAAAGAAAAATTAAGTCAAACTGTTTTCATAGACATTCCAATAAGCTATTTTCATGAGCTCTTCCGGATATTATCACAAGTTCTTATGATAGTAGTTAAGTTCAAATAAACCTATCCAATCAAAATGCTACACAAAAATAGATCACTGCAAAGTTGTGTTAGCAAAACTTGAAAATGCACCTGATGAGTCTAAACCACCTTCTTTCTCTTGGACAGCCTCTTGCAACTGACACTTGCCAAGAACCTCCCATATCACTTGATCAGAATGTTGAAATAAGGGATCCAAATTGTATCTGACTGTTCCAATAAAAAGAGTAGGATCCTGAGGTATAATACCAAAATGCGACCTCAAATCATGAAGTCCAATTGAACAAATGTCAATGCCATCAACAATGATCTTTCCACCTTCTGGCTCGACTAGACGAAATAAAGCACCGATAAGAGTGGTTTTGCCACTTCCTGTTCGACCAACAATACCAATTTTGTGTCCTCCTTCAAATGTGCATGTGATTCCGCGGAGTACTAGTGGTGCATCATGCCTGTACCGTATCTGTTCCGATATCATGAAACAAATCGTGTTTCAGTTCAAGCTCACATTTTGAAAAGAACGATATGCAAATGAGTTTAAAAATAATAACAAATACCTTGAGTTCCTTTATTTCTACTTTACCAACAACTGGCCAATTCACCGGAGGACGATTTCCTTCTATTACTTCAGGAGCCTCACTTGGTACATGCATATATTGATTTAGCCTCTCCACTGATATTATGTAATTTGCTATATTGCATTGATTTTGAATTGAAAATACTAAGGAATCATTAAGTGAAAGGCCATAAGAGAGAGCCATGCCAATAAATCCTGAAATAACATCATATGTTTAAATTATACTACTTGCATAAGACACAACTATGGTTAAGAAGACAATAAAAGGGAAATCGTAAAGGCAATAATAGAAGAAGTCTCACCAGAGGAAAATGTTCCGGGTGGAAGTACAACTATACACAGTGCAGCAGATGCAAGAACAACAGCACTGAATGTTTCTAACCGTTGAATCAACCACTCATTTGCAGCAAAACTATGAAATAAAGGAGTAGCATTGATATCGATTAGATCAAGGTTCTTTACGAAAAAACGATCTTCCTCTTCAAAAGCCCTTATTGTCACAGCTCCAGCAACTGATTCAGCAAGATGGTTAGCAACAAAGGATTTTGTTGTGCCATTCATCCGCATCAGTTCTTTTGCTGAAGCAAAGTAGTATCTCTGTATGTAGAAATAAAAACTTCTCAGCGAGTCCATTTTAAATTTAAGAAAGATAATTATAACTATTAATGTAAAAACAGAACACCTGATAATCACTGCAATTTAATTCAAAGAATTTGTTCATTACCTGCAACCGCAGTGCAAAATAGAGCATCGGCATGGAGACAAACAAGACTTGCCAAGTTACAACTGCTAAAACAGTTAGACTAGCATAACAATTGATAGTAACTCCCACGGCGAAAAAAAGACTACATGGAACATCGAGGTCAACAATGCTGAGATCAGAAGAGGCCTAAATAAAGAAGTAATAGTCAAAGCATCAGTATTTCCTATTCATTGTGTTAACTTAGATGGAAAAATGGAAAGAGAAAGGACCGTTTAATATTTCTACCCTACTAAGTATCCGTCCCAAAGGTGTGGAATCATAAAACGCCATAGGTGCACGAAAAAGGGAGTTCAGTAGCTGTAAAAATAAAGACTTTGAAGATTGAAGGCCCAAAGCAACTGGAAAAAGACTTCTTATGAATAAGAACACTGTTGAAGTAACTCCAATCAACATGTAAACTAGAATCAGCCTCAAAGTGCTGACTTTAGGATTGTCAACATTAGCAGCCATCCACGAGTTTTGCAATATTTGACAAATCACAAATAGAAGATGACAAATAGAAGCCGCGGAGAAGTATATGTATCCATTGTTTTGATTCAGGTACGTTAAGTAAGGCTTAAGCCCCTGGTCTCCAGTTTCTCTCTCTTCTTGCTTAATTAATTGATCTCGTTCTTCAAATTCCTTTTCCTTCTCCACATATGTTTTTCTTATTTCTTTCGTAGAATTTGAATTTCTTTCAGAAGAATCCACAAGCCGGTCAGAACCAGCAGTCTCTTTGTGAGCATTCACAAGGTCCTGAAAATCTTTGCTTGAGGTCAACAAATGGTGATACGAAGCAGCTTGAAGGATTTTCCCGTCTGACATCAACTGTACCGCAAAATCATTGTGTCCATGCATAATTTTCAGTTAGCCAAAGATTATAAAATAAAGTTCTAATTTTCAGTTAGAACAATGACATAAACATAATCATTGCTTCAATGATGTATAAAATTACCAAAACAAAATCAAATGCTGGAAGGAAGTCAACTTGATGAGTCACAAGCAAAACTGTCTTCCCAGCAAGGCCTTTCATAATGTATTCCTGTCCAGTTAATTGTGTCATAAGCATAACCAACTACAGTATTTAAAACGTGTGTGTGCGCACCTGCGTGCTGCATTATGAACACAGTATGTAAAGAAGTGAATTTATCATTACATTAAACAAATTTGTGGCAGTTTGTGCATCAACGGCACTGAATGGATCATCCAAGAGATATATATCAGCATTCTGATAAAGAGCACGAGCAAGTTGAATTCGTTGCTTCTGACCACCACTTAAGTTAACTCCTCTCTCTCCTATTTCAGTGAGATCACCATGAGGAAAAAGCTCAAGATCTTTCACTAGTGAAGACCTATGAAGAGTTTCCTGATATTTTTGAACATCCATAGGTGATCCAAACAATATATTATCCCTTATTGAACCTGTTTGTATCCATGCTGTTTGTGAAGCATACGCAAACTTCCCATAAACATCAATCTGTATTCCAGAAAAGACAATCCAATACCTTTTACTATTAGTACTCAAGTGGACAAAAAGTTGAATTTACATACCAAGTGATATAAAGGTTATAAATAATGAAAGTATGGCAAAGCTTATACATTTAAAAATAAAAAAAAGAAGAAGCAAAATCTTACTTTCCCTTGAGTGATGGGAACTTCTCTGAGAATTGCTGCTAAGAGAGTTGATTTTCCTGAGCCAACCTCACCACAAATCGCCACCTTTTGTCCAGGTCTTACTTCCAGATTAACATTTCTCAATGTTGGATTTGATAAGTTAAAATTCTCCCATGAAAATTCAGCAGACTTGATTGAAATTGAGCCCCTTGTATTGTCTTCTGAACACCTCTTCCAAATATTTTCACTCTGCTGTTCGGGTTCCTCCAAGAATTTTAAAATCCGAGCGAAAGCAACTTTTGCCTGAATAACCGCCTCAATAACATCAGGGAGAATTCTAATTGGTTCTTGAACAAGGCGTAAAGTTGCCACGAAAGTGAAAACATTATTCACATGCAAAGGAACGTTAAGAAAATAACATGCTCCGAACGTAGCAGCAGAGACCAAAATCGGTGACGACCAATAGAGAAATACATTGTATGCCTTTCTCAATTGCAATGCAGACAACCATTTGAGTTCCTCATTCCTTAATTTTTCTATAGAGTTTTTAAAACTGGTTTCCCATGCATACAATTTCAGTACCTTCATATTCACAAGAGCCTCAGAAGTAGCCTTCAATCTCTCATCTTGTGCAACCATAAGTTTGCTTTGAAACTTGTGTTGTAATTTTACAAGTGGTGTATTGCAAAGTACTGTGATAACTATCACAACCAAGGATGCAATTGTAGCTAGCCCAACTGCACGGAAAAGTATTACCAACGAGATACATAGTTGGAAGCTTGTTGTCCATGTTTGGTGAAACCAGTAAGGAAATTCTCCGATTCTATAAGCATCCACAGTTACATAATTCATTATCTCACCACTAGAGTGCGCCAATCTCGCAGAACTGGACAACCTCAATTGTTTTTTATAGATTGCAGCTGTAAGCAGCGACTTAACTTTGAGACCGATGAGTCTCGACCGAAAATACCACTGCCTTTGCGATAGAGA